AAGCAAATTACATAAGAATAAATAAAAAAATAGAGTTAATATATTTTTCAAATAAAACGTATGGCTCTTGACAATTAATAATCAAAACTCTTTAAAAATACTTAATATAAATATCAGCTTAAATTAATCTTTACACTAGTTGTTAGGATTGCGTTTTTTAAAACAATTTATTTAATAATAAATAATTATCACCTCAAAGAATATAAAATTTAAACATAAAAATAAACTCTTCCAGCGTTTATATATCTTATTTTAATAATGCTGTAAAATACGAGTTATAAGATTTATAAGCTTATATCTAATTTAAATAAAAAATTTACATATTTTAACGAGCAAATTAAAATAAATCACTTACATTACTTTCTGAATCCCAATTCATATTTAATATGATGGAAAATATTAAAAATTAGGTAATATATTGTTTACAATAGCAATTTTTCGCAAAAAATTTTTCAGAAAGAAACCGAAATTTTTTTGGTTTTTTTCCAGCAATCTGAAAAAAAGCAATTTTTTTAAACTATAGTCGTAGGCATTAAAAAATTAAAAAAAAGTAAAAGTTATTTTATTATTTTATTATTTATATTTATTTTATTTTTGGTCTAGTTTTTGGGTGGAAAGTGATCCAAAGGGAATCAAGATGCTTGGATAATTTATCGAAAAATAAAAAAAAAATTTATTTTATTCTGTATTATTATTCTATATTTCGAAGAAAGTCAGTTAATTGTTTTCTAAAGTATCGATTTGAAAAATAAAAATTTTAAACTTTAAAATGCTTTTTTAAAAATCTCGTTACGATAATTTTTGACAAAATTGTTCTATCTTGAATTTTTAGAAATTATCGATATATTAACGCATTGTTCCGTTGATCCGGACAATTAGTTTGGAGACTGTATATATATATATATATATATATATATATATATATATATACACACACATTAACTTGATAAAATTAATTTAAATTTTTAAATTAAAAAATTTCGAGATTGCATAATTTATTTATTGTTAAAAAAATTGAAGAATTTTTATTTGAAAATCTGTCTGTATTTATTAAACAGATATATAATAGAATATAATTGCTTAATATTCACAATATAGAAGAATCTTTATTACTTCTAGCTTTACAATAGCCATAGAAGGGACTTAGTTTACAATTTTTTTATTCAAACTCATCCATCTATTTCTTCTATTTCAGCCTTTAAAATCTAAATCATTTACCTACCAAAATTATTGTGCTTATACTAGCTTTCCTATTCCTATCCCTATTTGTTCTATATTTTCAAAATTTCCCTACCTTAGCAAACTGAGCCTTGGTTCCCTTCAACGTTCCTTAGCCAAGGAAGAGACTTCGAACTCTTTCCTATCCATTTATCTCCTCACTTTTTTATTTTATCTTACACCACCCTTTACATTTAAATACTTTTCTATACCTACTCTGTTACATTTCACATTTATATTTTTCAATTTTTATTCCTATATTTTACATTATTACATATCAACTTCTAATTCATTATTCTATTACAAAATTTAATTTATTTCTTTTGTTTAATTTATTTCCCGCGGCTGAAGTTCAATTAATCTATCCTCTGATTCTAAACATAACTATTTTCTTCACCATCTTC